CAACGATAATGTCTAATACTATTAAAGATAAGATTAACATGGCTATGAGTACAAATATAAAAGTTACGTACGTACGTACGTAACAGGTAACAAAAGAATTAGCTGTTAGACGAATACGGAAATAAGAGACATGGGACAAAATTATCAGTGACACTACGTATTCATTGATAGTTTGTCTTAAAAGTGAGATGGGTAACTAAAACATCCAGAAAAATATTATGTAATTTGAGAATGGTTCAATTATCAATAACTTTGGATTTGCTACTTGGGATTCATTTAAGGCCAAACGGATCAACAGTTAAATGTTACAGTTCAGGGGTTTATGTCCAAGACCTTTTTTGCCAAGTCCAAAGTCCAAGTCCAATAATATCTAAGCGTGCTTATACTTTTATAAAGTTGTATAGATATATAGTTATAAAATTAGAAGCTAAACATTTTTACTTAATGAATTAAATCAAGTTTTCATAGCAAAATTTTGTTATTAAAATTTCTTTTTTCGTGTAACATATTCGAGATCTTGTCCAACGTGTAACAGTAACAGAATTTACGAAAGAAAGATTCGCCAACATTATAATACAAGCTTTTATTTCAAGAATTAATGAACCTTTTTCGATGATTTTGGGCTTAAACGAATGCTAAGGTTCAAACCGTTCATTTAAATCCAAAATCATCAATAAAGGATTATCCGTTCTTGAGATATCTTGAGACATCGGCGTAATTCGATGATAGCACATCTAATGTGAAATCGAAATAATAACAATCTTATATGCCAGTATCTCCAGGATAAATCTTTTTCGATGATTTTGGGTTTAAATGAATTGCTTCGAATCGTAGCACTTATTTAAATATAAAAAATCATTGGTCACTCTTGAATTACTTGGATATTTTTTTGTCGCCACTTAGATAATATAATTTTAATCCCTTATTATGATTTTTATTTTGTGTGCAAAAACAGTTAATTCGAATCTATTTAATGTCTATTTCAAATCTGAAACAGGTTAAACTCCATAATTGTTAACACTCATAAGAATTTTGCCATTATTTATGCACGCACGTACGTACTTATGTACATGCGTAATATAATACCTGATAAAGTATTTGACTTATGCTAGGGTTATCATGATGAATGTGATATCCTTTTATTACGGAAGTGGTTAGTTATATCGGTACGAATCGTTCATTATAGAAATATGGCATTATACAGGATTTTATAAATGGTATAACTCAATATGCAAGGAGCTGATATAATCGGGGAATTGCGTGCTCCTGACCAGATGATTGATTTTGGATGACTAATGATAATATCAATAAAGAACTATTATCATCGAAAAAAAAAAACCCCCAGATTAACATTAATGTTAAAAGCATTTTACTTGATCAATATATGTATCAGATATTAATGTGAATTTGACACTATCACTAACACTAACGTTAAAAAATCGAATAATGCAATTGCTCTATTAATAGTATAATGACCACCAATCACAACCCCAATTTGGGGTTTATATACAGTTACATTTAAGTAAAATCATCATATGTTACTACCGGAAATATACAATGATAAAGACAAATACAGTAAATACTTGACTCCAACCTGTAAGGCTTTCAACACAATAATGCATGAAATCTTATCAGAACATTATATCGGAATTAACCCCGTGACATATATAAAAAAATGAATATCCCAAATAATTTTCTGAATTTTTTTTTTACTATTCGAACAAAAAATGGCTGCAGCTAATCTTCCGGAAATTTGTCTTCGAAAAATTTTTAATAGTTATAATAATTTAGAGTATAGTATAGGCTTTAAACGTTCATTGGTTTTAATTAATCGTTACTGGTGTGAAACACTTACACCGGAACTCTGGAGTGATCCTTTTGAAAATTGCGAAACAGACGAAGGATACGAATTATTAATTGATACATATCTTAAATGTTTACCTCCTAATGTGCTGAAAAACCTTGGACTTGTTACTTCGTCTTCATCTATTGCATTTGATTATCCATCTTATTTACGACATCTTGATCCCAATGTAATATTTTCAGGTGTTAAAGTTTGGGTAGAACAAACCATTCGACCGGATATTGACTTTTTTGAGAAAGAACGAAGAATTATGGCAATATATTGTGCACTTTTGGGAAATTTTATGATAAGAGCGATGTCAATCCAAAAAGTTACATTATATGAAACACAATTTGTGAATTTCTTTAATTTTTCTGGAGCAGAAATGTGCCTTTCAGCAATTCAAACTTTTCATTGTAATGTTAGCGATGCTGGAGCTATGGAATTATCAAATATTTTACAATCAGCTTTGATGGTTGCAAAAAATGTTCAAAAATTAAAAATTTGCTTGATAAATATTGACATCTGTATTGATTCTATAGTCAGAAATATGGCGTGCTTTATTAAAAATCAACAAAATTTAAAAGTTGTATCTATTGAAAGTTTCGAAAGGGATTTTCGCAAACTTTGGAAATCAATTTCTTTACATTTTAACACATTAATTGATATTAGACTCGTTTCTATAAAATTTAACGAACGTAAACCTTTTCAACTTCAAGAATTAGCCCTCATCCCTAATTTAGAAGTCATCAAAGTTTATAATTGTGAAAATTTGGAATTTTCATCTTTTCAGAAAATTGTTCCGATAGCATTTCAAAAGATTCATAGATTTAAAGTGGAGAATTGTCGAAAATTTCCAGTAAATTTTATTAAGATCGTTTTATCCAGATCTAACAAAACAATGAGAGATGTTGGATTTCGAGGACTTGATACGAATGTAGAGATACTTAAATTATGTATAAAATACTGCACAAAAATTACTAGAATTGATACAACTGTCAAACGAAGTCAATTTCCAGTACTTATCGAATTATTAGAAGTATGTAAAGATTTACGAGAAATTTATATTGACGATATGATTTATATAGATGAATATACAGCGTTGATTAGTAATAAACATAATATTTCTTTCGAAGATGGAAATGAAATTATTAAACGACTTGGAAAAGCACTCCCACGAAAAGTTCAATCATTTATATTTAATTTGGATTGGTCGTTTACACCACAATCTTTGGAATCATTTTTAGAAAGTTGTGCTGTTAAAGAATTAAGAACACTTTCTTTTCCTTTATATAAATCATTTTCTTCTAAGCATTTGAATGCTGTATTGAAATATTGTTCTGGTACTTTGAAGAATTTACATCTCAATACGAATAAGCATATACCTGATAGAGACTTAGAAAAAGCTAGAGATAATGTTGAATACATTATTTTTGATGGTGGTGAATATGTAGACGATTATAGATA